CCCCAAAACCCCAAAACCCCTCATTTCTAAATATCTATAAGGTAAGTATGTAATCAGATAAATAGAAATTATAAAAATGGCTTTCTTGCAATTGATTAAAATAATACGTTGCTTTAATCAAGCTTAATATCATTATTAAACTGAATAAACTTCTATTTCCATTACCTTAAAGTTATAACTTCCACCTAAATAATCCTTAACAAATTATTCTTCCTTGTTAAAACCAAATGGTGTCTAATAAGTACCACCTAAACTACATAAACTATTGCTATTATTATTGCAATCATTTTAAATAGCAATATCATTACTAATGCCACCACCAAACACCATTAATTGATCTTTGTGATGAGAAACTGCTCTATCAAGGTTTTGATGTTATTTATGCAGAGAGTTCTTACTCAAGCTAAATACAAATGCATCATTATCTTTTTAACTTTTAACTCTATCAGGGGATGTCCAAGAAAGTGATGTATAACCTCCGAATACCTGTCCATGCTCACTTTAGATAAAAGAAATCGTCGGCCCTTGATTATCGCATTTTTAATGAAAACTAGATGCTGTGAACTAATCACCAGTAGCTTTATATAGTAGTTTGCATTTTCCTCTTAGAGGTAAAAGATTATTTTAAAAGCTTTTGACTTGTTAATTTTTCAGTATATTTAGATGAAAATCGACTAATCTTCTGAAATACTTTGGCTTATCACGTTCAGTTATTATTTGTAAGAGCTCATCTTCTTACTCAGTTTGTTATTTTGGCTTACAAATTTAAAGCTATTTAATATCTTGAAAACTAAGATTATTATGTTCCTCATTATCCTTCTGTATTGACTGATCTACTTAGTGTCGAATATCAAACAAGAAACTCAAATCTTTCTTTGATTTAATTTTATTTTAATATTCATTTATTTGAGATATTAAGTTAAGTAACTCAGTTGACTTAAACATCTTATCATTGTTTTGATATTCTGTGAGACTTTAAAGTAGTTCTTGAATTCTCTCAATATGATTTTAAAGTATTGGAGTTTTTAGCTGGATGAAATCTTCCATATCTTTTCTATTCACATTTTAATGTTCTATCTTACAATGATTATTGCATGTGGAAGAATTTGAACAATCATTACAAAGGAATTGATGAGTTGTTTTGCAGTACGTTTTAATCATTTTCTAAGGATGCTTATCGCATATTATGCTAATTATGTTGAGTTGATCAAGATTTTGAATCAAATTTTTTGCAGGAACAATCAAGGAATGGTCCTTTAATTAGCATGAATCACCTGATGGACAAGTTTTTAAAATTCCTTCATTAGAGGTTTACTACTCAATGCAGTGATTGCAAATTGTATAACCACAAGACAAATTCATTGGTTTTCTCTTTTGAAGGTTATATGGTCGATCGCATCCTTTGCAAACATATATGTTCATACTTTTTAAGGATATTTTGAGGTGGGGGTCCCTAAATTTATAATAATAATAATAATAAATCGACTAATAATTCAAAGAAGTTTTGGATCCTATTTCTAAGGATTCTCATTTTATTAAAAGTAATATTAAGTAAATTCCAACAATTTTTCAATACTAAATATTTAATTCATTTTTTTCCAATTCTTAAAAAATTGAAGGGGTTTTGGGGTTTTGGGG